AGGACAACCTGTGGGAATCAATTTTCTCTTCCCACTATGCAGGTCCCAGGGACAAAACATTATGAATCTTGGCAGTAACCCACTTAGGCCACCTCACCAGACCCTGCAATAAATTTTTAGGAGGTAAGAAACCTAGTCAATAAATAAAGATAATTCTCAGTTATTTGGCTTTTTTCCAAAATTTTTCTAATTTGGAAGGGGTATTTACATTAACTTCCCTTCAAACAGATAGGGCTTCATGCATTTTGTTACTGAAATAAAGTGTCGGCACTATAAAAAGCAGTCATAGTTTTTCTTAAACCGAGTATCAGAAGAGGTATTCTGTGGCTTACTAAAGAACTTCAGAAAAATACTACAAGCTGCTACTTCAGATTCCTACTCCTCAACCCCTCCTCCACCACAATGAACAGCTGGAGCTGTCTTAGACAAGACCACAGTCAGGCACACTGTCCATCTTGTTCTACGTATTCTTTGTGAAATGCAAAGGAAAGGGCACCTCATATAAAGCATCTGCTCAGAAGCAAACCCATCAGGGACAGGGACAGCAGCAGTTCGTGGAAGCATATACCCAAGCAGGAGTTCTGGACTCACAGTCTTCATCCTCAGCCTCAGGGCCTCACCTCCTTGCTCATACCCCCAAAATATATGCAAAGTAAAGCACCTGCAATATTCCTAAAGAGAAACATACCTCTCAGAAATGCTCAAAAAAGCTGTCCAAGGAAGCTGACAGCATGAGTTTTCAGGACTCTAGTTGAGAAGGACCAGAATCTCTGGGATTAGCTTCTAGATAACAAAGTATTTTCTTCCCCTTAAGACAGTGCTGAGCAGAAATAGGCTTAAGTAGTAACCAGTCTAGGACAGGTTAAAATGTTTGAAATAGAAAAACCAAACCTAGCTATATTCTTGGCTTTAAAAGAGTCCCACAAAATAGTGTATTGTTTGTCAAATCAGCCAAGTTAGTAATGATCTTTATTCATGTTGCAAATGGAGCAGAGCATAGGTTGGGCAGCAGGAGAAAATGGAATGAGATCTACCAGGATGCAAAAAAGGCTGTAAAGAAGATAGAGTTTAAAAACTGATGGTTCCAAACCAGGCTTGGTGGTGCACACCTTTAATCCCAGCACTCTGGAGACAGAGGTAGGAGGATCTGAGTTCCAGTCCAGTCTGGTCTACAAAGCACAAAGCAAGTTCCAGGACAGACAGGGCTACACAGAAAACCCTGTCCCCAAAAAAATAGAATCTGATGGTTCATCTCACTGCACAATGTCACATCAGCTAACCTTGGGCAACTCATTTCTGATTCAACAGGTGAAAAGTAGATGAGGGTATGTCATAGTTTTGTAAACCTGACACAAACCTAAACATAATTGATAAGCGAGACTGTCACTTAAGGAACTGTCCCCATTACCTTGGCCCGTGGGCACATCTGTGGGTACTTTCTTGATCACTAAGACTGGTGGGTCTAGCCTCCTGTGGGCATCCTTGGGCAGGTAGATGTGGGCTGTATAAAAAAAGGTAGCTGAGCCTTTTGCGGCCATCGCTGGATCGCAGCCGCCAAAATGAAGTTCAATCCCTTCTTGACTTCTGACCGAAGCAAGAACCGCAAATGGCATTTCAATGCACCTTCTCACATTCAGAGGAAGATCATGTCTTCCCCTCTTTCCAAAGAGCTGAGACAGAAGTACAATGTTCCATCTATGCCCATTCGAAAGGATGATAAAGTTCAGGTTGTCCGAGGACACTACAAAGGTCAGCAGCAAAGTGGTCCAGGTGTACAGGAAGAAATATGTCATCTACATTGAACGAGTACAGCGAGAAAAGGATAATGGCACAACTGTCCATGTGGGCATCCACCAGCAAGGTGGTTATCACCAGGCTAAAGCTGGACAAAGACCGCAAGAAGATCCTGGAAAGGAAAGTCAAGTCTCGACAAGTAAGAAAGGAGAAGGGCAAATACAAGGAAGAAATGATTGAGAAGATGCAGGAATAGGGGTGTCTCATATACAGCTTTCATTAAAGACTGTTTAAGTAGTCAAAAAAAAAAAAAAAAGGTAGCTGAACAAGCCAGAGAAGCGATCCAGTAAACATCATTGTTTTGTGGTCTCTGAATTGGTCTCTTGACTCTGGGTTCCTGCCTTAAGTTATTGGCCTAGACTCCCTCGAGGATGGCCTACAACTTGTAAAGTTAAGTAAACAATTTACAAAAGGAATGGAATACTAAATAAAGAAGGAAAATTGGCTCCTCTTTTATTGGTTCCTAATAGGAAATATGGTGGGAGACTGGCAAAGGGAAGGACAACGGAATAAAGGAAAGTGCTTCTTCAAAAGAAACTTCTGGAGCTGGAGAAATGGCTTAGTGGGTAAAAGTGCTTGCAGTGCAAGCCTGATCTTGAGTTCAGATTACCCAAACCCACATAAAAGCTGGATGCTGTAGTGCACCATCTGTAAGCCCTGTCCTCCTATTGAGAGATGGGAGGCAAAAACAAGAGCCTGGAATACAAAACAGATGGCAGAAACAAGAGAGACCACGCCTAAAAATAAGATGGAAGGCAAGAAGAAACTCTGGAAAGTTGTCCTCCAATATTCAGGTATGTAGTGTAGCATGTGTGTGTGCATGCATGCGTGTGTCTACGTGCATGCATGTGTGCCTGGAAGGAAGAGGAGGGAGGGGACTTTCTTTGAGAAGAAATCCTAGTAACTCTGCCTTGCTGTGATTCCTCTGGAGTCCTTATGTTCTTCTAAGATGTTTTTGTTTTGCTTTGTTTGTTTTTTGTAACTCGAGAACTCTGGCCTTTGCTTTCCACTCCTTCTAGATGTTACTAAACACACAGAGAATGCAAGTCATAACTGGCTGAGTGACAGGATGGAGCCTGAGCTATAGTCTGGACAATGTCACTGACCGGACTGCAGAAAGTTGAGGAAGACCTCAGCTTCTCTCCACTTCCCAACACAAATTGTAGGACTGGCAAAACGGGGACAGCAATACCTCCTGCCTTTTAAGATAGTCCCTGGTATTTAGTAAATTCTCAATAAACAACTTAGCACACTGAAAATCCCAAGTGCCCCCACAGCCTAGCACAAATGCTGTCTCAATCAGTAAGTGTGACTTAGCTTTAACAGTCAATGTAACACACTATATAGACAACCTGAGAAGGGAGTCTCATTGAGAGACTGCCAGGGTAAGGCTGGTCTGTGAGCATGCCTGTGAGGGATGTTCTTAATTACTTAACTGCTGTCATAAGGCCCAGCCTAAAAGTGAGGAACATCATTCTGTGGCTTGATCCTAGAGTGCATGTATTCCTTCTCCCTGCTGCCTTGGCTTGCCTATGAGAGGCTGCAGCCTGGGGTTGGGAGTTACAGTAATGCTTTCCCTACATTGTTCTTTCAGGGATGAAACTAGGACAGAGCTACTACAAGACTGTGACCAGGGTTAAGAGTTCACCACAGTAAATATGTCAGAGTGACACAAGGATAAGCATTATGTCTCATTTTTCAGATCCTAGTAACCCACCCATTCATAAACACAGATTTTTAAATTAGCCTCAGTGGCTTTTCTGAGGCTTTCCCTGAGTAACTCTCAAGAAACCTAGAGCACTTAATTACATCAGGCTTATTTATGTTTCTTATCTCCAAAACAAAAGAAAACACAAGACCCTTTCATACATTCTGTATACTCCTAATACCTGAAAAACATTGGAGGATCAATCATTAGTTGAATGAGTAAATCATGAAAAGCTAATAAACACACAAAAGTATTTAACTACTTTCACCTTTTATCTGATGGCTTTTTATTGCATTGAAATTTCAATTTAACTACTTAGCCACATAAAATCCACGCATTTGTTCTTCCACTGTATATATGAAAGTGATAAATGTTTACTTAATGATATTCAAAACAGTATTTGAAAGAGAAACAATCCAACCAGGCATGGTGACTCATGCTGATAACACCAGCACTCAGGAGGCTAAGGTATAAGGATGGATTTGAGTTCCAGGCCATCTTAGACACAGAACAAGACCCTGTCTCAAAATGAAACCAAAAATGCAGACAGATATGCTGCACAGCTGGCACTGTGTTGTAGCAGAACAGCCACCTTCAGTCATCTTCCTGATGGCAACAAAGATGCAGGGAAGTTACTGACAACAAAGGCTGTTTTAATTGGAAACCGTGTCCAAGGATGGCATTCACAAATTCTGCACATACTATGAAATGACACATCTAAATAGTATCAGGGCAGGCACTTAACTGGGCAGTAATACAGAGAAATATAAAGAGTTTAATCTTTTCAATATTAGTGTATTTTCATCAGAATTCTCAATTCCACTGAAATATAAAACCTCTACCTCTGACTTACCAACTTTCTGTCTTCCTGCTCCCATAAACTCACCCCTACAACACTGTGAATCAATTTCAAAAAAAACCATCTTTTACAGTGCTTAGAGATATCAAAGGGGAAAAGTCAACAGTCTACTAAATCAAGTTGCTTATATAACTTGGTTTTAAATTTATTGAAAAAAATAAAATATATACTTACTTTAAAATGAGACTTAACATTTTAGTATATAAACTAAAAAGGGATCTTCCAAAATACTTGTTTGTAAATCCTGACACTTGATGGAGACACTGGCAGTTGTCTCTCTCTTGATACAGTAAGTCATATAAAGGAGAGATATGAAGGGTGCTATTGCTCTAGTGTTTCCAAACAAATAATAATCCACAAGCTAACTAGTGTGAGTGATAATTTTACCTAGCTCAAGAAACAGCTATTTCAAGAAACTTTCCTCCTTATATATATGCAATTTAGGTTATTATGGAACTATGTCCAAGTAATCCACTGGGACATGACATTGAAGCCTAGGTCTAAAATATTGCTTTACTGAGGAAGAGAAAAGGGACAGGTAGAGCTTGATGGTTTTATGCAACAAGAATGACCTTACAGACACCTTCCCTCCCTCCGCTGGCCAGAGCTTAAGGAGGGGAGGACACAGCCAGCACTCACCAGTATGGATCTTCTCGTGTCTCTGAAGCAGGTACTTCTGTATGAAACGCATGTCACATTGACTACATTGAAACGGTTTTTCGCCTTAAAATAATTTGACATCCATACATTAGTTAATGAATAAAACAATATTTTAAGTCACTACTTTGAGGATATACACCTCTTAGAAGCCCAAATTTTGGAAAAGTCTACAACATCATAGGATTTTAAAAAGCACTTTTTCATTAACAGTTCTATTTTCCCTCAAAATTTTCCTCCAGGATTTAAAATTTTATATTTTCACAATCACACAAAAATATGATTTACATCTTTCTAATAAAAGAGGAAAGACTCACATTCCTTCCTTTATCTAAAGGCATGCCCACCCTGTTCTCTGTGGCTGGCCAACCCTCTGTGCCCTTTTACCTGTCTTCTTCAGAGTTCAGAACTCTATAAACACCCTTGAAAGAAACTAATCCATCTTCATTTCAGAGTGCTGGGAAACCTTGCTTCAATAGGACAATGCTCTTTGACACTTACCAGAGTGGTCTCATGTCTCAAATGCCTCCCCACCCACTGTGGCAAGACCTTTACCGAGATGATCTCCTTGGTGTTCGATCCACAGATTCCCCACCACCCTCTATCCTCTGAGGGTGTGGCCCTTCCTCAGCCTCTTTGCATCCGCTCTTCTTTGGCTTCTGGCTGCCACCGTATTTTCCTACTTTATCAACTCTCCCTCATTACTACCTCTCCTTTACCTTCCAAGTCATCTAACATTTCTAGCTTGCTTTTCCAAAAAATGTGTAATCAATCTTTAGTTCTATTTTCAACAATTTCCCAATTTTTAACTTCTACTTTGGTTAGCTATCATTTCTAGTATCTGATGTCCAAACATTGCCCTGCTGGTCATACATCTAGCATAGAAAGAATGCCATAAGTTCTTAATACATTCTCAAGCAGTTTGTGAGTTAAAAAGAGTGCTTTAAGCCAGGTTAGCACCCAATTAAGACTACCAAATGTACATATCCATGCTGATTGCTTGCTCATTTACAGTCTTTCTGTGTTTCTTCCTGATAGTCTGGCTACAAATTCTGATTGGCAATGCCAAGTTAGGTATGGTCTTAAGACTGGATTACACTGATATGAAGATGAAAATAATAGTAGTGATAACTTTAGTGGCCACAAGCGCATGTTTACTCAATACCTGTGTGAATGAAGACGTGCCTCTGTAAGTGATAGTTCGTTCTGAAGGCAGCATTGCAGTGCTCACAAACGTGAGATTTAGGGGTTTTCAGACCAAGTGATCCATCCTCATTTATTGTAAGGATCTAGTTTTAAAAAAGGCAAAAGCAAAAGAAAGTTTTTAAAATGTAAATAATTACTACATGTTAAAAGGACAATATAAGCAATGGTCACTGGAGCTTATAAATTTTTCATAAATAATCTAGAAAAGACAATTAAAATAGTGGCACCTGTAATGTAGGAAAGTGCTGTTTACTTAGATTGGATAAAATAGCACTCTACCACCTCCCTCCCTTGTCGTGGTGATGGTCAGCAGAGCCCCTGGGTGTTTCTGTACGGGGCTGCTAGAGTAAGCACAGTTTGATTTCCAACTTCAACTACTCATGTTTGCAGGGAGAAAAGTCAGGTATCAATCAATCACTGGGAATGGCTAAAGCACAGAAGACCAATACAACTTAATTTAGATAGAGACATTCTATCTAACTTGAATGGAATAAACATCAGGATTTGTTCAACACAAAAAGGTTCAAAACCCATTGCATATTTTTTTTTATACAAATGACATTATCTAGAGAGATAGTGTCTAACCATATATATCTATCTAGATACAGTGTGCTTTTGTGTGTGTCTGAATATACATTTATATGTATATATTTAATAACTACTTCAAAAGGATTTACATGGATACACTGTACAGACTTTAAACACTTTTTGAGTCAGTAAGAGTTTTCCTGTTATTGTTTCCTCATTTTTTAAAAAAGAGAAAATTAAGTTTCTCAGTAACCCTACAGTAGAATCTAGACTTTGTCTCATCTAGGATCTCTAAAGATACTGTAGAATTAACACTGCTAAACATGTCCTAAAAATACTTGTCAGACATATCAGAGTGGGAAAACAGAAGAAAAGAGACCTACTCCACCATCCTGGGCATCTTGCAATTAGACATTGTGAGTATGGTCTAGACAGTTACAAGTAAAAACTCACCTTCGCAGAGTCTGATCAATTCTACCTTACCAACCCCTTCCTCAGTATGCACACAGCAGAGTGGTAAGAGAAAATGATTCCTCTCATCATTACCAAGGAAAGAAAAAAGGTAGCAGAATACAATGTGAAGAAGCCTAGAAAACTAAGAGAATGTCAGCTGTCGTGGAGATCAGGAGTCTGAAGCAAGAGGATGGAGTCCAAGGTCAGCCTGGGCTGCATAGCAAGAACTTGAAGATGAAAAGAGGGAAAGGCAGGATCAGAGCAAGAGGCATGCGCTAGAGGTGGCAAACAACTTGGGAGGTGAAATCTATAGAAAGTAAAACGGAGACTGGTGGCACACTAAACCAACACTCAGCAGGCTGAGGCAAGAGGATCTCTGTGAGTCCCGGGCGTAGACAGACCCTGTCTCAACACTTTACCTCTCACACACAAAACAAAAAAAGAAAGCAAGCAAGCAAACTGAGACTGCCTAACACAGGAAAGAAATTTGGACAACATCTTGGAAATACAAAGGACCAGAGAAACTGACTGGGCCTACAAACACACAGCTATGATCCCCTCGTCAACTCCAGAAAAGAGAAGTAGTAAAAGATAAGTGGCTTTAATCTTTAGAGTATCTTTATTAAATTCAGGGAGACAGTTCAGCCTATACTGTATGTAAATCAATGATAATTAGCATGCAAATTATACATGGTATTTGGGTTCTAGGCAAATTGCCAACATGGTCAACAATGCACCCAACACATAGAAGGGACACATTTGGCAGGAGAATGGAAGTGGGTGTCACAGCTTCCTGAACAGACAGTGAGAATAAAAGTTTGATTTCTGGCCAGTCAAATTTAAGTTTTTTTCAGTTCCTCCAAGTCACATAATAATAATGTAAGTTAACACTACCCAAGGAAAAAAAATAATAAAAATGTACAAGCCCTCTTAAAATAGGATTCAAAACATGCAAAAGAAAAATATGCTAAGTATTATATATAATAAATAAGACGGTAATATCAGGCTTTCTTCTTTTCACATGGGTTGCTATTATTTTTATCTTATTTTGATCTGAGTGCCAAAAGCCATGGGAGTTCAATGGCTTTCTATGAATAGCAACTGGAAGGAAAGATCTTGTTAGGCACAACTCTGGCCTATGTTGCCTACTGTGAAGTGATATAATCCCTGGCTATATAGAGCCCCTTATGGATAGTTAGGAGTTCTGGGTCATAGGAGCATGGGAGTCATCATGCTATCTACATTCAGGTCTTAATTCAAGGTAGAATTGTATAGAAACAGATATCAGTATTATTTTATGGGCAAACACACTAAAACCAATCCAGCATATTTATAAGTTTACGTAGAAATATCAGATTCTCAGGCATTTTAAATTTAATTTTATTTTCCTTTGTTAGGCCAGTGTAATGCATATTTTTGTTTACAGAATGGAGTAAAAATCTACCTTGCCATAAAGAGTCATCAATGGCTTTTCTAATCTGTAATCTGTTTGGAATGTATCCACATGAACTTGCCTGTTTTGTTCACTACTATTACCCTAATGTCCAAACCTGGAGTGTGGGGCACAGTGGATTCTGTACCTACCTCTGACAGAGTTAGCTGCCTGCTACCTATACCAAACAGCCCTCACAACTTAACACTACATTCTTTAAATAAACAAACATACTCCTGGCCTTCAGATCATCCTAGGAACCACAAGTGAAGATCCAGAGACAAAGTGCAGGTGCGGGGCTAGCAGCCTATTAACTCTTCCTCAGCACACACTGGACTCAGTTTTTCTATGTTTTTATGTATTTTTATTTATGAGTTTTCTATCTCCATGTATGCCTGCAGGCCAGAAGAGAGCACCAGACCCCACTATAGATGGTTGTGAGCTATCATGTGGTTGCAGGGAATTGAACTCAGGACCTCTGGAAGAGCAGCCAACTAGACTTAGTTTACAACCTTTCAGGAGCTTTATAAACTGTGATACAATGGTTTGAGACTTTAAAGATTATCAATCTTTCTTGCTTATTAGTATGACAAAATCTTTTTTGCTTAGGTTCCCTCACTCAACATATGATCACCATTACAGCAGGAGCTGGAGGCTAATGCTTTCATTCCTAGGACGTAGGACATAGCATTTTTTAGTTTTGGTTGGGGCATGTGTGTGTGTGTGTGTGTGTGTGTGTGTGTGTGTGTGTGTGTGCGCGCGCGCGCTGTCTGTTTCTTCAAGCTTGATCCTCATAGCAGCAGCTCTGAGCTAGCTTCCTTCTGTCACTACTACTTTGGCATAGACAGTATAAGGATAGAGCAAGCTCTCCTCTTACCAAGAGGATAAGTTAGTAATCTAAAAATCCAACTCTTGTGAGTTTTCATATTTGTTTAATAGTGTTAAGACTTTATAGGTTTTTTAAAACAAAATGTTTGGCCTCTAATGGAATTCCCTAGCTATTCTATGTCCCTGACCTGATCTCATGGTTCACTATGTGCTTTTATTTTGAGAAAAATTTGTTTGATAGATAGATAGATAGATAGATCTGTATCGAGAGACAGAGAGAGAGATAACAGGGGTGTGGTGGTGGTGCCTTAGGCATGAGGAGGGCTCTCTTGGTAACATACCTCTTTTTACCAAGCAAAGCTTAAACTCTGCTTATTCAACCGACAGACTTCACTCTAGGATCAGTCACACTCCTCCATGAGAAAGGGTCCTTCTCAAAAGACAAACATGGCTTTTTTTTTGCATTGTATGTGCATACAACTAAAATTATCCATTCATATTTTAATCTAATGACTAGAGACTTTATGACACCTTCCAACATTAACTGGCATCAACGTTTAAGCCATTCAAACCCAGGAGAACTTAGAGATGATTTAAACCAATGATTCTGAACCTGTGGGTTGTGACCCCTTTGGGGCTGAAAGACCCTTTTGCAGGAGTCACATCAAGTATCCTGCGATATATAATTCCTAACAGCAGCAAATTTACAGTTGTGAAGTAGGAACAAAATAATTTTATGGTTGGGGGTCAACACAACATGAGGAATCGTATTAAAGGGACACCGCGTTAGGAGCATTGAGAAGCGCTGATTTAAACCCTCACCAATTATGAGAGGTTTTGCTTACAAATGAGGGTGGGAAAAGGACTTTTAAGACTTTCTTCCTGCCTTGTGGTGGTACACACCTTTAATCCCAGCAGTAGGCACGGGGGTTGGTGGGGTACAGGCAGGTGAACTCGTGAGTTCAAGGACAGCCTGGTCTACAAGAGTGAGTGTTAAGGCTACATTGAGAAACTCTGTCTCAAAACTAACAAATAAAATTTTCTTTCTTCTCCAAAGAAATGCAACTCCAAAAGCATATAACAAGATCATTCAGAGTAAAAGTCACCTGACATTCACAATCTCCTTCAGGATTTTATGTCTCTACACCATCATTTTACTTATTAGCAAATTTCATTTTCAAATGCAAAGCTTTAATGGTGTCTGAATATGAAACTCACATGTCATAAGAATGGAATATGACTCATATTCATCACACCGGCCTTGAGGATTTAAAAGATGGGGGGGGGTGTACACGCATGCAGACAGACAGAGGACAACTTGCAGGTGTCAGTTTGTTCCTTCTATCATATGGGTCCTGAATCAAAATCAGATGGTAGGACTTGGTGGCAAATGCCTTTACCTACGGAGCCATCTCACTAGACTCTGACCATTAGTTTTAGAAAGGTCCTCTCATGTTTCCTGAGTTTAAAGAAACAGGTGATATTCTCTAAAAGATGGTTGTTTCCATCATCAGAATCTTTTTAATGGTTCATGTCTATGGAAAACAATTTTCCCATAATACAGTCACTGTTTGAGAAAACCAGATTAATGAACTGCTAGTATAGTATCTTTCTAATCTTCTTTCACTTTTTTTCAATAGTATTACGTTTGATTTCCTACTTCCATTTCTAGTCTCAGTTCATCTTCAAAGATGGTTCTTCCAAAAACAAAGGGAGCATGGAGAAGATAGCGTGACAAATATCTAATACATCCATATTCTGCTTCTTTTAAAATAATTTTTTTCCAGACAGGTGGTGGCAGGGCATGCTTTATATCCCAGCACTCAGGAGGCAAAGGCAGGT